TAGGGCTTAGATATCTATTGCTTTATGTAAAGATTGCGGAATACAAATTAGTAGAATCATTTATCTTAATTATTTTTGTTTTAAACATTTGTAAGGTCAATCGTCGGCCAAGCCTTTTATTTACTATTGAGGTATTTCATGGACTTTAAGTGATAATGAGTTATGCATGTGATATTCTTTATCACAAAAAGAGTTTTTTAAAAGAAATTGATGTTTTTAATATCATAACTTTCACAATATTAACTTTGATAAATGTGTTTAGGGTAAAAGATGTCACATTTTTCATTTTTTATTTACAAATCTATCACCTTTTTTTTAATTTGTTTATTGTGTTTAAATATTTGTACAACAAACAATAAAAATATATATTTTTTGTTTTCTTTATTTATTATACAAATATTATAAATTAGGAAACAAAATGAAAACAAGATAATAATTTTGTAAATAAAAAGTGGAAAAAAAGTAAATAATCCCCTAACTTTTTATTTAGTCCTTCGACTATTTAAGTGTCTCTATTTGAACAAATAATATTTGTATGCATATTGAATATTGACTACAAAATGACAACAAACCAACATTGTTCTCCATCTAGAAAATTGGCATCTTATGACAATTTAACATACGTTTCTCCTGATTTTTTGACAAGTGCATTGGTCACTTCTAGTTCTTGGAAACTCATTATTTAGCAATAGCGATACAAATGTCATCATTTCAATGGTCCTTTTATTTTCCTAAAGATTATTGGGGATATTCTTAGCCACTTAAGAACATGTAGAACTTCCATGGACTTGAGCAATTGCTCTCTAATTTGCAAATGTCAGAGCTACTATCTTAGTCTTCAATGTTACCATTGTTAACATAACTTTTTTTCTCACCACCAATATTTTGATTGTCCTTTGCTTTGTTTCCTAGTCATCAAGTAGTGGTTTTTTGGCTATTAGACGACCATTTACATGGAAATAGTAAAGGTGTTCCAAGTGAGAATTTTCACCTTCTTCAACAAGGTTAGATGAACATGACTAGATAATAATGACCATCATTCTTCATTTGATTGACATGAAATATGCGAGTTTACAACAACTACAAGTGGTGTCATAATTGACATTGATTTTCTAGAGGTAGGATGTGTGTATCCACATTGTTAGATCAAAAAATGATTTTGGATCCCTTACAACACAAGTTTTAATGTTAACAAACTTGAAAGTTTTTATTAAAGAAATGTTCTTCGGATCACATAGAAAGACAAACTTAAATAGACGATTGGTTATCATGATGTGTAGTCTCTCAGATAAATAACTTGTCGGTGTATGAGATGAATGCATTAAATATACATTATTTATGATATTTGATAACCAAATCATATTTGTCTATGTTATTCCTTAATAGATTGAAGGAGTAAAAGTTTTTTTTTTGTACTTGAACTTAAAAAAAGAATGGATATATGTTTTTCATCAAAGAAAAGGCAAGCAAATATATCGAAGTGTGTGAAGTATTAGATAAAGTCATTTTTGACTGACTCATGCATCATTTCTCCTGTTTTGTACCTTAAAGGTGATAAGTAATCTCTTTGATTATATTAACAATTTGGTGAAATACATTTAATGCATCAATAGACACTTCTCTCTATAAGGAAGGAAGAAGAAGAAAGATTAAGCAAGCTTGTGAAGAAAGCTCAAGAATTTGTAATGATCATCTTCAAGAAACACCTATATAAAGAAGCTTGAAGTCTTAGAAAGAAGAGAGAACAATAATTGTAAAGGTTCATTTGATTCTTAATATAAATCTCTGTACCTAAACTGGTTGTATCACATCTTGAAAATAAGATGAAATAATAAATGATTTCTCAACTTTAACTTTGTGTTATTATTTGAAGTTTGAAGATGCTTTGTTGTTAAAGAATACTTGGTTGTTGAAGTCTAAAGAGGCTTAGTTGTTCAAAGAATGTTTGGGCAATTGCTTTAAGAGGTAAATCAAATACTTCCATTGAGCCAAAAGTGACTTATAAAAGAATACTTGTATCCTTATGAAAGATAGTGGAAATTGATCAAATTAATCAAGAACTGGATATAGTCTCGATGATTGAGACAAACTAATATAAAAATATCTTGTATCTTTTGTACTTTACTCTTCGTCTACACTATTAAGGTATTTTTATCACTTTAATGTTTCAAAAAAGTGTTGAGTTTTTAATTAATATTATTCAACCTCCTTCTAGTGTCTTTCTTTTCTCCACATATATTATTTAGCAAATTTATCTCAAACACAATGTTATGATATAATGAAGATAAAGGCTAGCGTGGACCACATTTATAGGTAGTTTATGGTGGGTCATCTTATTTTACCATTATATTCATCTTAGTTATAACATTATAATATAGAAAATTTGTACTAGATTGTGTTTTTACCTTTTTTTTAAAACTTTTTTCTTTGCGATTAATATTTCTCTCTCCTTTTTAATTTTTTTTTTTAATCTTTCTTTCCTTCTTTAGGACAAAGCACATTGCCTCCAAACTCTAGCATTGGCAAGCCACTACCATGAGGTTGACGAAGGCTGAGACTAGGAGGAGCTCTTATGAGGAGCTCGGAGTGCATCACCATTGGGCTCCAACACGAGTGGTGGAAAATGTTGTAGCCCCTAAGATTGCGATAGGAAGGAGCTCCTAGATGAGGAACACAAAGTATAACAAGGCTCTAACCAAGTTATAATGGTGGCATTAAAGGTAGAGAGGTAGGAGATGGAGAAGCAAGCAAGTAGAGCCATGTGAGGAAGGATGTCAAATCGAGTTGTCATACTCTACTGTTGTGCTTCATCGTCTCATTGTCATAGTCCGCTGTCACGCCAAATTTACGTCGTCTACCATTACATTAATTACAAATCGGGAGAAGATTAAGGTTGTTTTTGTTAATGATGGTAATTGTTGGGGACATCATTACTATAGTGGTTGCTGGTGATGTCAGAGGAGAGGAATGGAAAAAGAAGGAAAGAAAAAACATTGTTGCCAAAAGTTGTTTCTGACGATGATATATAGTGGTGAAAGTTGTCAAAAAGAAGAAGGTAATACTATAGTGTGAAGTACACATCATAAAAATTGTAAACTAGATCAATTTAAATGATGATATTTGTTGTACATGGTGGACCACCTTAAAATTTATCTACAATAAAAAGCTCTTTAAAACGCTATGGAACATAAAATAAGAAATTAAACATATGCAAAGATAATTAATTTTTCTGTAAAAATAATGTTACCATTTTTTCATTATAATATAATTTTTCTTAAATATGTTTTTAACCTTTGTAAAATTATTTTAATTTTGGTTTCTGTAAAAAAAATTTATGTTTTTATCTGTCTAAATTTTAGAATTATTGTTTTTGGTTATTATTATTATATAATTATTTTTAACCACTTATTTATTTATTAAAAATTTAAGTGAGCATTTTATATTACCCTCAATTATTAGTGATATTAAGTTAGTGTGACACTTCTAAATTTTTTTTATAAGTCCTTAAAATTAATGTTATTTATCTACCTTAAAATCATTGTTAAAGATAAAAAATAATAATTTAAAATTTTAAAAGGATGAAAATCAAATAAAAATATTTTATAAAAAATTTACTTATTTTATAAGAATAAAAAATATTATATAAAAAATTAAATTAATGTTTAGAAATTTTAGAAAGTTAAAAAACAATAAAAATATTTTATATTTATTTTTAGAGTGAAAAAACATATTTAATTCACATATTTTATAAGTGTCATCTATTCATTTGTTAGTATATCTAAAAATATGGTGGCATTCTATTATTAGCTATTGAATCTAAATATGAAGTGTTGAGTGTGTCCAAAAAGATTTGCTTGTGAGAAGATTATAGATGAAATGAATAGCATTATCTAGAGTGTGATTAGATTAGATTACATTACATTAGTTCTTAAACAAATCACATATTCTCTCTCCCCTATACGCTGCGTTTTCACCCCCGCATGGTAGTACTCCATTTTTTGTCTCACTCCTCACTGCAAACCCTAATTTGAAGAAGGGAAGAGACCCAAACAATGGACGAAGGCGAGGGAGGGTACGGTGAGAGCGGCGATCCCATGGATCAGTTCCACCGTAACGAAGCTATATCTGCCGTCGCTGATGAGGGTTTTCTGGGCGAGGAAGACGATGATTACGAGGACCTTTACAACGACGTCAACGTCGGCGAAGGCTTCCTTCAATCTTTGCGTAAGAACAACGATTCGGGGCTCCGGAGCGACGACATCGACGACAAGAAGCCGCCGCCTCCGCCGCCGGTTCCTGATGCCCCCGGGGTTCCGATGCCGGGTGTCGGTACCGGTGGAGAGGGTGGCGTTGGTGTTGGAAGCGGGGTTATGGAATCTAGGGTTTCGGGGAGAGTTGGTGGGGTTCAGAATCAAGGATTTAGAGGGAACGAGGTGGGTGCCAAGGGTGGGATTAGGGTTGAATTGGGGCATCAACCTGGGAAATTGAGTGAAATTGAGGAGCAGAGTGGTAATGATGGTGCTGCGGTGCAGGGGATTGGGCAGCAACCACATGGTGGAGTTGTTGGGAGTGTGGGGAATGAGGGTTTGGTGAGACAAGGTCAAGTGGGTGGTGTTGGAGGAGGAGGGAATGCTAATAGGGTTGGTGGAAATGGTGTTGGGAACAGTGTTAGTGCTGTTAGTAATGTTAGTGCTGGAGGAGTTGGAGGTGCTGGTGGTGCTGGTGGTGTTGCTTCTGCCTCTGGTGGTACTATATTGTTTGTGGGTGATCTGCATTGGTGGACTACTGATGCTGAGCTGGAAGCCGAGCTTAGTAAGTATGGGCCAGTGAAGGAGGTGAAGTTTTATGATGAGAAGGCGAGTGGGAAGTGAAAGGGGTATTGCCAGGTTGAGTTTTATGATCCTTCTGCTGCCACTGCTTGTAAGGAAGGGATGAATGGGCATGTTTTTAACGGGAGGTCGTGTGTTGTTGCGTTTGCATCGCCTTTTACGGTTAAGAAAATGGGGGAGGCTCAGATAAATAGGAATCAGCAGATGAATCCATCTGCTGCTCCACAGGGAAGGAGGGGGCCTGCTGATGCAGGGGCTAAGCCTGGTGGGAGCAATATTTCAACGGGTGGTAATTACCAAGGTGGAGATGGGAATAGAGGTTATGGGAGAGGAGGTAACTGGGGGAGGGGGAATAATAATGCCATGGGGAATCGGGGGCCTGTTAATCCAATGAGGAATAGGGGTGGGGGGATGGGTGGCAGAGGTATAATGGGTCATGGTGGAAATGGATTTGGGCAGGGTATGGGTGGTACTCCACCACTGTTGCATCCTCAGTCAATGATGAATCAGGGTTTTGATCCTGCATTTGGTGGTCCCATGGGTAGAATGGGCAATTATGGAGGCTTTCCCGGTGCTCCAACACCACCATTCTCTGGTATTTTACCTTCATTCCCTGGTGTGGGAGGTGTTGGTTTGCCTGGAGTGGCACCTCATGTCAATCCGGCATTTTTCGGAAGAGGGATGCCTGTGAATGGTATGGGGATGATGCCCACATCTGGCATGGATGGTCCTAATATGGGAATGTGGTCCGATCCGAATATGGGTGGATGGGGTGGTGAAGAGCCTGGTGGTGGTAAGGCTGGAGAGTCAAGTTATGGGGAGGAAGCTGCATCAGATCATCAGTATGGTGAGGTGAGTCATGATAGAGCTGGGTGGCCTATGAGGGAAAAAGATAGAGGGTCGGAAAGGGACTGGTCTGGTTCTTCTGAGAGAAGGTATAGGGATGATAGAGATCAAGGATATGAGAGAGATGCACCTAGAGAAAAAGATGTGGCCCATGACCATGAATGGTCTGAAAGAAGGCATCGTGATGATAGAGAAATGGGCCGAGAACGATCTCGTGATCGTGACCGTGAACGATCTCGAGACCGTGAAAGAGATCGAGACCGTGACCGAGACAGGCACAGAGAAGATAGGGACAGGTATGCAGATCATCATAGGTATAGAGACCGGGAAGCAGAGCATGATGATGAGTGGGAGAGGGGACGGTCATCAAGGACTCACAGCAAGTCACGGTTATCACAAGAGGAGGAACACCATTCTAGGTCGAGAGATGCTGATTATGGGAAGAGGCGGCGGCTTACTTCTGAATAACTTTGTATGCTGCTTGTTATTTCTCTTGATGCTTTCCACTGAGGAAGGAGAAAACAGTATAACTGAAAAGTCATGATTTGTCATTTGTTGAATTCTCTAGTGGCCCAGAAGTTTTTGAGCAGCTGTTTATTTCAATCACTTGTTCTAATTGCTTCTTGTTTGGAGCATGGTTTCTTTCTTCTCGTATAAAGGTTAGTTTCAGACTTCAATTCTTAGCCTGCTTGTGTTATTGGATCTTGATTTGTGATATGAGCTTACTGTTTTCTATGTTCATTATGACTGAATAATACTAGATGCCTCTGCTTTACTCTTTTGTTTTCATGAACTTTCCCATTGACACAACCAATTGTAAGATGGGATTTAGTTTTAACCATAGATGACTTGACAACTATCTAGAGAAGAATACTGTTGACTGTTTAGAGTTCTTAGCTAGTAGATTTCTGCAGGCTTTTAAAATATTTAACTTAGTACTCAAAGGAGGAATCAGCATGTTTGAGATTATGCCTTTTAATTTTTGGAATATATAATATAGTTAAAACTGAACCTAGAAGTATAAGCTCAGGCATCCTAGAACTAAACTATGGCTAACAAATGAGAAGCCTGTTGATATTTAATTGAAGGTTCAATAAGAAACTATTAACATTGAAGATTACTAAGATTTTTTTTTGTATTAGTGTTTTGCTTTAGTTGCGGTTGTTTTGTAGAGGGTTTGGGAATGTTTTTCATTTTTTTTTCTCCGCTTCAGATATGTATGTTTTTGTGGTTTTGAATGCCAGGATTTAATTTTTTCTTTTCCTTTGTGGTTTTTTTTGGAGAACATCTTATCCACTTTTGTATTTTTCCCCTAAGCATCTAATAATAGTGTCCTTTATCTATATCTAAATAAAAATATTATTTTGAATTAAAAATTTCCTTTCTTCCATTGTCTAGTTAATGTTTCATTCTAGTATTTCTTTTGCTCTTGTGTGCTCTTATTTATTCTAGTAATCATCCTTGTTTATAATCCTGCCTGAGTTCCACCAAATCCATTTGGATCATATTTTTTCCCCTTTTGATCCTCAGTATGAAGCTGTATTGCTTCCCTATCTCTCTGCATGTGGACCAGGTGGCTGTTTGACTATGGATTCTGGTTTAAATGGAAATCTATATGTTATCTGCTGAACACTTTACAGTTCAATTACACTTTTTTTGGGGCTAATTGTGCAAATTAATGGAGTTTATAATCTGGATTCAGCTATGTGTATAATCCATTCTGGTTTTGTAGCTTCTATGTGTGCATACCAGTAACTAGTTTCCCTGGAAGTTTTGTACAGTTATTATCCCCCCTGCCCCCTTTTCTTTTGTTGGTAGTATAATTATATAAAGATCATATTACAGTAAATGGTATATCTACACTTGAATTTGCAGTTATATCTATTAAGTTCTATGATCAGAAGTGAATGTCTTTATATGTGGTTGCATATATTATGGCTCCATGTTTTTAGCAGAAGAAATTATGATATTGGGATGATCATATAATATATAATAATTGAAGCTTCAAATGTTCTATAATTGCATTACTTTCTGGATTTTGCTAAAACTAGTATTTCTCTCAAAAATTTATGAGTATCAAGAAACTTCTTAACTTCCTACATGGACTATAGTTTTGAACATTTTTGTCTAGGTATTTGTTTGAGTTGTAGTTTTTGTAAGTTGTTCCCTTGACAAATACCTAGCCTAAGCTGTAGGTAGGATCTTTGGACATGGATATGAAAAGGGAAAATAGTCTCATTCTTGAATGATTTCAATTTCCAATTATTGAAATTATAGGTTTTAGGAAGGGAAGGACGAAGAGATAAAGGAGTATTTCAGCTCAATCTTAATTAGATTAATAATTGGAACTAGGTTATACAGAAGACAATGCACTCAGTCACTTGCCCCCATTTATACAAGGAATCAAATCAAGTATTTGACTTTTAACCCTATGCAAATGGGGAACAATTATCTTACCAAAGATAAGATAAATTCCTCAAGCACAAGTTTAACAAGATTAGATCCCTAAAAAGAAAGATAATACAATTCTAATATGTTATGTTTGATTCTCTAATGCTATGATATTTTGTGTATATTCTAGTATCCCCTTTAGCAAAAGCTTAAAGTTTTAGCTTGTTGCAAATGAACACTGAAGAAAACAATATAAATATGAAATTTGTTCTGTAAAATTGGAAAACGGTGGAGATGCGTGCCTTTATATGCATTTCTACAGCCTAAAACCCTTGGTTTGCAGTTTTCCCAAGATTAATAATGTGTTATTTGCTTCTGGGGTCAATATATTATATTCTCACTCCTATAAATCAACTAAATTTCTGTGCTTTTTAAACTGAATTATGGAAGTATTTTCTTTTTTATATGAATTATACCTACTTTATCTTCTTTCGGTTAATGCCTTTTGAATTGTAATCAATTATCATTTTTATGGGCTTCTGTGCTGTGTAGGGACAATTGTTTTGAGAAAGGAAACTGTTCATTCAAACTCTGGGTTGTGATGGGGATCAAGCGTCTTCAATGTTGGAGATTCAAGTCATGACAATCATTTTCTTACATTGAGAAGTGGAACTTTTGCTATGAAGTTTTACCTTATGATTTGATTTTATGTTTCAGTTATTAGCACATGATTAATTAAACCATCAATGTTGTTGATGTAATGGGTTTAACTTGCTGAAGTCTGAAATGTGGCAGATTATTTAGAACTTATTGTTTGAAATATGTACTAGGATTTAGCAGAGGATGCTGATAATGTGCCGTTTCTGATTGGCTGGCTGTTGTATAATTTTTTATCCCCACCTTTTTGGCTGGCTGTTGTATCATTTTTTACCCCACCTTTTGGCTGGCTGTTGTATCATTTTTTTCACCACATTTTTTTTGGTGTTTTCTCCCTCACATTGTTAGCATAGTAGTTTAGCATGCAAATATTGTGTATGATGTAGAGAGCTAACCATTTGATCACTGTAATCATTCAAAGCTGGAGAATTGTACATGTTTTCATGTATATATTGATATTAACTTTGCTGATAAAGGTTGAAGCCATCTCCAGTGTTGTTTTATGGTCATCTTGTTTATATTTGTCTAATGGAATTCAATAGTTGAGAATTGGATGGCCATATTGTATTGATTTTTTGTTTTCTCTTTTTGTATCTTGAGTGCTTAAATACAGGAGAGGATGCCTAGGTTTTTCACTTTTCAAAATAATTAAGTCTATTACAAAAATTTGGTATATTATACATAGAGAAATACTAGCTACATATTTTTTAACCTACTTTTTCTATCACTTTCTACAATTAACTGAAATTTGTTGATAATCATAAAATTATGTGGGTCTAACTTTTTATTGAATGAATATCATTCATCGTTTTGTAGTTTTTAATGAATTTTGACAAATAAAAGTGTGGTTAAAGGAGTGTTTTAGTGAGTGTATTGTCAGTGTGTTAGTATGTGTATATATATATCGGCTTCTTTTTTCAGGACTTGTACTTTCAAATCAGAAGTATGTATTAAAGTTGGTCTAGGAACTGCTAAAATCAATTGATGTTCTTGGGAATATTCCTTTTATGTTTGGGAGAGGTCATGTTCTAATATATTGACATGATTCATTGTTATTTTTTATTATTATTCTTTACTCGAACTCTTTAGAATAGTTTATAGAAAAACTTTTTTTTATTTATTGTCATTATGTTTCATTTTTTTGCCTAACCTATTTTTCTTAAATCTAAATTGAATGTGTCTAGTAACCTTTTAAAAGTGACCAATTTATGCCTCTATTTGCTATACCATTTGCTCTGTTAATGCCTTTTGTAAGATTGTTTGTGTTTTCTTTATACAATTGTGTAGAAATCGTGTCAATGTGTGCTTTTATGAGTAGTGGGGACAAATAATCTTAATCAATGTTAATTTTCTTTGTTTATTTCCATGTTTATGCTTAAGTATTAAGAGAGCCTTTGAATGCTTTGAAGGACACTGCTTAGCCTTTTATTTCATTGTTGCCCGTGAAAGTAATAGTGGTTATCCAGATGATTGATTTGATCAATTGATATATTTTCTGTCGATATGTTTACAAGTATATATTCTCCAGGATTGGGTTATCTATGCTTTTTATTATATTATTATTCCGTTTCTCTTCTCGATGTTCCTGAAGTTGAACGTTTCCTTTGCGTGTTGACTGGGTTATACTTGTTTGTTTTTCATCCTTATTATTTTGCTGTAGAATGACTTAGATTCAGTAGAAAGGGGATAGAGGAAATAATGTGACCCCTCAACACATTCCGAACGTCAAAGCTATGTATGCATCTCATGCATCGGCCTATGATATTATATATTCTATTCAATTAGTAAAGTTTCCCAACCGTTTATATCTACCAATTTGCTTCATATCGTTACTGTTCAAGTGTTCATGCATACTCGTTCTTCATCTGTGTTTAGTTCATCTCTGATTAGTTTGTACATAGCTGTGATAGACTTTGCATGTAAAGTGAAACAAAATGTATTTATCGTTAGTTTAAATTAAAGGATCTTGTAAATTTAAGTAATTTTAAATGAGTGATAGATGCAACGTTGAAGGTTCACTGGACAAGAATAAATTCCGATACGAATGAGATGGGGGCAGGTTTCTTATGATCTTTATTCCTACATCTGGATAATGTATAAAATTATTGTTGAACCAGATACACGTAAAAAGGGCACGAAGAAATAACTAATCTTAGTTTCACATGCTTGTGACGAGAAGAGTGAGGCTTTATACATTTAGACGATGAAAAAGAAGCAATTTTCATACTTGTTATGTTCTAGTGTTCCGAAATATTCTCACGACAATCTCTTGTGATCAATGTTTTCGAATACAAGTATGGTTATGCAGTGCTCACTATTAATAAGATCTTTCAAGTATATTTTGTTTATTCACAGCATAATAGAATATCAAATTTCATGGCAAAATCTTAAATTTTATTTTTATGGACTGAAAATGAATATCGATAAAAGAAATATTAGAAATACACTCTTTTTTTTTTAAACATTTCTTTATTAACTAAAAATTAGAATTTTTTTGTCAGATTCAATTCCTATTTAATTGTTTTTATTGATTTTATATTTAAATTCTTTTTGGTTAATAATAATAATTAAAAAAAGTGTTTCTAACACCTTTTACAATGATATAAAATAAGTATTCTTAACTGTTGAAAAAAAAATTAATGAATATTCTAACACATTTAGAATATAATATAATATAGACTTAAATATGTTTTTAGTCCCTCAAATTTAAGACAAATTTATTTTTGGTCCCTTAAATTTAAAACGGTTGTTTTTAGTCCCTGTAATTTTTATAAATCTTATTTTAGTCCTTTAGGTCACCATTAACATATTTGAAAATGACTAATTAAGACAGTTATACAATATCAACCAGATTTAATGTGATATTTTCACTACTAGGAACATCAATAGGTGGATTTTATGCAATAATGTTTGATAAATTTTTTAACAAAATGAACAAAATTTTCATGACAAGAGTTGTGTAAAACTGTTGAAACACCAAACCAAGCAAAAACAGATAACCGTACAGAATAGGCATAATAACATCCAAATAATAGTTGAGAAGTATTCTCCAAATAATATAATAGAATATAATATATATATATATAGAGAGAGATGAGAGTAATAATAACACCGGTATAACTTTTACTGAGTATTGCACTACTTAATAACTTTATATAACATATGAATTTTATAGATCTAACTGTTAAATTGAAAGTTTTTTATCTTTAGATCATATATACAAAATTTTATATTAATTCAAGATGATTTGATACTTCATTCTTATAAAACAAAATTGACGTAATATATACATTTCAAAATATACTAAAATATGAATATTTTGATTACCTTCAAGTTGTTATTTAATTTTAACAAAATTTGATATAAACATATAAAGTGATATGAACTTTCAATCTAGGAATGGCAACGGGGCGGGGCGGGTACGGGTTTCATGATACCCGTCGAGCCAAACTCATCCCCGTCCCAGTACCCGTACCCGTCGGGTATGTGATTTTCATTCTCATCCTCGTCCCCATCGGGTATCGGGTATACCCGTGCCCGTACCCGTACCCGTCAAGTTTTTTATTTTTTATTTTTTTAAAAAAATATTTTTAAATTATTTTTTAAATTATATTATAATTATAATTAGGTTATTTTTTTTATTTCATATTATAATAAATAATCACACATAAAAAATATTAAAATTCTTTAATATAATTAAATTGAAAGTGGGTATTAAATTAAAAATGGGAACGGGGACGGGTACGGGGCGGGTAAGTACATACCCGTACCTGTACCCGATTTAATATATCGGGTTTTACCCGTACCCGTACCCG